CTGGCTTGGAGACCAGTGTAAATGCCTGACATATTGGCAGCATTGTCATAACTCTGCCCTCTCATGTCACTCAAATCAAGACCAACATCTTTAATTAACTGTACAACAGTTGAGGCTATGCTCTCTGCTCCATGGTCATGTATGTCTATGAACTTTAGAAATCGCTCAACAGGTTTGCTATCAGGTTTGACATAATGAACTATGAATGTAAGTTGGTCAGTATGACTAACACCCGGTGAGGAATCTACACTAACTGAATAATATTTGGCTTGTTTCACTTCACTTATGATAATTGAGTGAATTCCTTCAGCCATCAGATTGACCATTTCCTCACAAATCGTTTTTGAGAGATATGAAGTCTTTCCACTACCTACAGCACCATACTTTTCCAGATGCTGTGCAAGAAAAGGGTCACATTTTGCCAGGAGTTCCAGTACTCCAAGGTACCTAATTCCCATTGTTGCTAGAGCCTATTCTTTCATCACTACCTCTGAGAGGAAGACCTCTTGATGTTAAAAATTTTAGTGTTTCAACTATGCGCAATAGAACTTCTTTCCAGTATTTTCTCTCCAGTTCTACTTTTAAAGCCAAATTGGAATCAATTCGCCTTGCTGTTATTGCCCTCACACCCCAAGTAGTAACTGAGATTTTATGCTCTTTGCTACTTTCATGTTCAGCAACTCTATGTTGGCAGGTTTTCCAATCGCTAAACCCACTAGTAAACAGTGAGACTTGCTTGCTGAATAGCTTGCAGGGAACACAAAATACATCTCCAGTTTTTGGAGAATACACAAGCCATTCCCTTTTAACTTTTTCATCATTTGCCATTTGACATGTAAACAAGGATTTGGGCACATATCGAACTCTTTCCTTTTCACCCACATTTTCACTTCTTGCAGATCTTGAGAAGTCACCTTGTTCACAATTTAGATCAAGAGGATGGTTTAGTAAATACTCAATCAGTTTATCATCAATTGTCAGCCAGTCAGCTGGATCACTTGATACTCATAAATCAACACTGACACCTTGTTCCACAGAATGTTTCTTTTACCGGTAAGTCAACTGAGATGAATCGGATGAAGCTTCAGTCACAGGTGGTACTTCCATTGCTGTAGGTGCTGATTTACTTAATCTCTGTGACTGTGACTCACCTGACCTCGCTTCATCATCTGAATCATGAAGGTGAACATCTACTGTGTCATCCCCTGGGAGTTTACTGTCAATGGTACTTGGCTCTGAATCTCCTTTTGGTTAAAAAAATGTTGTTAGCTTTGGAACTGATTGCAGTTGTGCAGCTTTGGCTGCTTTTAACTTTCTCTTTTGTGAGTCACTCAGATATTTTTTCAGGGACGACATATTTATCTCATGAGAATCCCCAAGAATAATCTGTAAGCAAAAAAGTAGTGTAGGTCTATAAGAGATACCAATATCACAAAAAATAGACACAAAAACAAACCTAATATAACACTGAAGTCCATTTAATGCAACATGTAAGATATCATTAGTAAATAATGAGTGCCGCGTACACACTATAAAATATCACTGAGCTGAGGCTGAGAAGATACTGACTGGCTGAGCGAGCTGTCAGCAAACCAACGGTAACCCTGACACGTACTGAACATGTAAAAGTCCTGTCCTTCACACGTCAAGGCGCTGAAGGTTTCTTGAACTTTAATCTCTCTCTCTTTCTCTCTCTCTCTCTCCCCAGTATATTTGTATGTATAGGTAGATAGATAAATAGATAGATAGATAGATAGATAGATAGATAGATAGATAGATAGATAGATAGATCGATGGTGGGACACAGACATTTAAAAAATGTATATATATTTTTTATTATCTTATTTTCTTCATTTTACTATAGGGCCTAGTCCGTGGCCCACCTGAGAACCACCCCATGACCCACCAGTTGAAGACTACTGCGGGCCTATACTTATTGTACAGGGGCCCCATACTCCGGGCCTTATACTTATGGTTGTGAATATATTATATAATGAAATACTCGGTGTACACTTGAAACAAGGTTATACGCTGGCACGCTGCGCGACAAATTAGTTTCAGTGGGCCCCCAGATACCGGTGGGCCCTAGGCCAATGGCCTAATTGGCCTATTGGTAAATCCGGCCCTGATGGGGAGGTACAAACTTGGTTAAATTCATAAGTAATAAAACTCAGTACAGGTATTTACCTATTACACTTTCTAAATTAGATGATCTCCCACGAATTACATTTCATAACATTATCATTCTGCCAAATTCTGAAGTAAAAATGCTAGGTCTCACCATTTCCTCCAATATGTCCTGGAAATCACACATCCTTAATATAGCTAATGCTGCCTCCCGAAAGTTGGGAATATTGGGTATATGCCATAGCTACTTCACTCCTGAGCAGTTGCTCCAAGTATATAAGGGATTAATTCGCCCTAACTTGGAGTACTGCTCTCATATCTGGGGTGGCTCTTCTTCTGTCCAACTGTTAGATAGGGTGAAATCAAAGGCATTTCATCTTATTGACTCTCCTCCTTTAGTCGACAATCTCTCTTCGCCGCAATGTTGCTTCACTCTCTCTTTTACAGGTACTTTAATGGGCAATGTTCGGTGGATTTGGCATCCTGTGTACCAATGGCAAGACCGTGGTCTCGTAACACTCGTCTTGCCTGCGGTGCCCACCGTTTCTCTGTGGGTGTTGGTCACACGATTATAACCCGTTATAGTACCTCCTTCTTTCCTCACACAGCCAAACTGTGGAATGCTCTGCCTTGTTCTGTATTTCCATACTTATACAATCTGTCTCACTTTAAAAAGCTGGTTTTCTGGCATCTTCGTGGTGTAGATTAACACAGTATAACCTTTTTCTTCTCTATTTTCAATTTCTTTCTGTTCTTAATTTTTCGCCCCCCAGGCCCCGTTGTGGGTCGATGGCCTGTACCCGGGCGGGCTAATTCCCATTAAGAGAAAAAAACTGCTCCCACAATGCCTTCATCTGTTCAACCTTTTGGATGAGTTTGAAGTTGAGTGTCCTTGAACTGAGGATTATTGCCTTGCTTTATGTTGCTTTTATATTTACTGTATTGTATAGTGGTCCCTCGGTTAACGAACACAATTCGTTCCAGAGGGTCGTTCGTTAACCGAATCCATTGTTTCAATGGGATATTGGGTAATTGGTTCCAGCTCACTGAAAAGTACATACAAAGTAAAGAAAAAAGATGCAGTAAAGTACACTTGCTTTGAGGTGTGTATGTAGAAGGTTCCTGGTTGATGATGATGATGAGAATTAGAAGTGGGGGTGGAGGAGAAGGGAGAAGAGAAGGAAGTGGGGATGGAGGAGAAATCACCTTTCAGGGAACCCATGCTTGATGCAGTCATTTCACCAATAAAATTTTAAGTTCACATGGTGTAATTCAAGATTATTTTATTCAAATCAACACTGCACTGCGCTATATATTATCAATATCTAATATACTATAGGAATAGCCGTGTGTGTGTCTGTGTGTGTCTGTTCTGGGCAGCCGAAACGGCACAATCGTTTTTCATCAAACTTGGAGGCAAAATCGCAAAAAATTCGTAGAGTGGAACAAACCTGGTCCCATGTCGATGGTTTCTTTAGGAAGGCATTAATTAACCATTTTATTTACGGTGGAAAACGATGTAAGTCTACGGACTTGGCGCACCCTAATTAACCAAGCAAGTCTATGGACTTGGCGAACCCTCATTTTCTGTACGCTAGCTAAGCACGAGCGTTCAAACATTCACCGGGCACGAAGGGCCCGCGATCACTTGTGTTAACTAAATTTCAGAATGACCAATAATTTCAATGAAAAATGCAAAAATATTCAAGACACCAACAAAATAGATGTTCACTCCACTGTCCACAGAGCCCAACTGACGCCTTGTGGCTGAGTGAAGCATCTGATGGGTGCACAGAAAACTCATTCCCTGTTCTGCATATATTATCAATATGCTAAATAAATGTTAAAATTACTAATAATTTTAATATAAAACATGTAAAAATATTAAAGAGCACAACTTTATTGATATTTACTCCACTGGAAACGAATGCAAACATAGAACAGGTTACTGAATTGGCAGACTAACCCGTCAGCTGATAAGCTGATGCTCACAACAAAACGTGATGTTCGTAAGGATTTCGTTAATCGAATTTTTGTTCGTTAACCGAATTGAAGATTCTTATGGAAGGTAATTCGTTAACTGAACCGTTCGTTAATCGAGGGACCACTGTAGTAGTAATGACTTAACACTCTTAAGCCAGGTGGATTTTGTAATACTTGTAAAGGAGGATGTGCTCAGATGCTTGGTGTCCTAAGACAGGCTATGGAACATGAGGCCTGGGTTGATTTGCTGCTCCATTTTGACATATTAATCACTTTTCCAAAAGGGTGACCTGGTGCAATAGCTGCCATATAGAGGATAAAAGCTTTTGTTGTAGCAGACTCTGCCTAATGACCACCAGACACATCAAGGACTACTCTCTGTCTACCAGCAGGATGGTGATGGCAGCATCAGCACCGGGTTTTGTGAACAATTATACTTACAAACACTATACCTCAGGCCATTCTTTGTGATGGTTTTGAGTGTGAGGTCGAGCCTTGGTTCACATGGATTATTTTGATGATACCTGACAATTATGTACAGTACAGTATAGGGTGAGTGTAAGCCTAGCAAAGTTTTGGAACACCTCCTTCTGGGAAGTGACAGACTTGATACTGTACTTACCATATATTTATTTTTGTTTACATTGAGAGTTTAAGCTACTATATGTAGGCTTAAAGATACTGTGTCTTGAGTGAGTTTCCAAACTATTGAGATGGTCCATGAATCCCTGTTCTTGGACAATTCAAAAATAGTAACTTTGTCAACACCCTCCCCCATTATCATGCCTACCATCACCTCCCTTTCTTTATATTTTTTAATTGTCTTATTGGATGAATGATTGGAATGTAATACAGGGTATGTATTTTCTTTGATGCTGTTACTCTTTATTTTGATTAGTGATGGCCTCAGAAATATTAACTTATGATCTCAGAAGGCAAGTTGCGCTGACAATGATGATGACGACGATGATGATGATGATGAAGAGGCCGCAGATATGGAGGAGTTTGAAGAAAAGGGGATGCTCGAACAAGATGATCCAGTAAGTTATGTCTATTTTGAAGTGATTTTTATTCATAAATTCTGTGCTATTAAGATTAAATTGCTATGAGAAACATGATTTAATGATAAGTATTTTATAATTATCCATCCCTTCCCAATGCAATTATTGCCCTTAAATGCAGATTTGAAACCAAGTTTACCTTCTTAAGGTAGATGATCGTATAGAACAGTGCCTACTTACCCAGTACACATCACAGTTATTAGCCTACTAAATTGAATTTCTGGGTTGACCTCTCATGTTCAGTCTCCAGCTACTAGAAGCAGGAAATAGATATTCTCTCTCCACTTCATGTCTTAATGCAGTCAAGCTAAATGTTTATTGTGGAATTTAATTCTACTTTAGGTGCTATCAATGAGTTAAAACAGATACGTACTGTATTGTATCATACTTTTATTTTATATATATTTTTTTCAGTTTACATACAGTACTTGTTGTTGCAACCTCTCCCAAATCTGAACTGGTATGATAGTGGTGGTCTGCTCTTAGGTCTGAAGTCATACCTCATAGATAATTAATTTACCTTAGTTTTTCTTTGCAGGGGCTAATTTTTGTTCCCTTTACTCGTAGTGTGAGCTGACATAATGTATTGTACTGTATCAGGAGAGCCATAATGACAGAGGTCTACTGGGTCCTAACTCCACACCTAGATGTACACTATTGTGAGAACTGCCTGACTATAGAGTTGGCATGAAAAATGGATTTCAGGGTCAATCCTCAATTTTTTTTATATCTTTTTCCAGAGTGTGATTCAACCTATAACCAAAACAACCACTATAGTTTCAACTCCAGGAAGCAGCACAGGGGAAGGAGGGGAAATATTGCAAACAAGGACGTATGATCTTCACATCACCTATGATAAATATTACCAGACGCCTCGACTCTGGTTAACTGGCTATGACGAGGTATGAGTTATTTTAGAATGTGATGGAACAGGTCACTTAGGGAGCAGATACAGTGATGAAGGTTATGTACGGGTATCTTCTTTAACCCTTTTGTTTTATTAGTTGTGATAAATAATATTTTCTAAGGTTACCATAGTAGCAAAATATATATTTGTTTAATTATCCATGAGAAATATATTGCCATTAGGTGACCATACAAAGCAAAATGTTTTGATTTTTATATCATACAGTAGAACTTCAATACACTGGACTAATTGGGGCAAACCCCAGTCTGGAAAAGTGAAAGTCTGAAAAATTTAATCTTTGGGGAGTGGACATAGCCCTGCTTATCTGGATCCCTTTAATGCATCTTTATGTTATTTTGCCATATTTCCCATATTATTTGGATTTGTTTGAGGCTGGGTTGATAAAACATTATTGTAAAATACTGAAATCAACTTTCCCACAAAAAGAATCCCACACTCAACCCCAGACGAGTCATTGCATCATTTAAATGCCTGGTGGTCCTTGTTTACTAAGCATGAACAGCTGATTGACCTCGCCCTCCCTCACCATGTTAACAGCACTCACCGTCTCACATTCTTTTCACAACATCTATCTTCAGTATTTACTGAATAATAATGTAGTTTATGGGTCTGGTGACTGTTTTGTCCCATGGGGTGCTGAGGTAAGCTCAACCTGGCTGGGATTGGTTTACTTACTAGTGTATGTAACTAGAGACAAAGAATCATAGAGGGCATATGTATTAGCACAGCAGGCAAGGAATTTTATATCTTGACAGCTGACATCTCCTTGTATGTACCCCATTTTAGGGGCTGCTGTTGTATCTGGTGAGTGTTACTGTTCTGTTTTTCTGGAGTTTAATCCCAGTCCTGCATGTGAGCAGTCTGGGAAGCCCTGCATTATCAGACTTGAAGATATTTTACCTGTTCACGAGTCACCCAATCCTTGCTTGGTAATGAAATGGGATATTAGGATGACTGTCATATTTATTAAGCTTTTTGTTCACAGAATCGACAGCCCTTGACAGTGGAGGAGATGTATGAGGACTTTAGTCAAGACCATGCTAATAAGACTGTCACCATGGAAACCCATCCACACCTTTCTGGACCACCAATGGCTTCAGTTCATCCATGCAGGTTGGTTGAAGACAATTTTATAGCAGGATCATGACGAATGCATTTGTTTTATTATTTACCCATCTATATTCTATTTTTATGGCCATATTTGTTCCCAGCTGATTACTCCTTTGTCCTTCAACATAGTTTTTCTTTGAGCTATGAATGAAATATGGGTTCTTGGCACTCCCTGTTACTTCAGTTAGTATTTTTCGGGTATTTTTATTTTTCATTGCATTCTTGAATGCTTATACATCTTCGTCACATTTGCTCATTTTTTCTTTTGGGTAGAAAAGTAAAATAGTATAC